ATGCGACTACAGACTTTATGGCTATTGGACATTCAAAATATTTGATGTTTAAATCCTTTAGATTTGATTTTTTAGATTATAAAGGTCGTTAAATTTAAGATGCCTGACATTTAAGACGTAACAATTTATGACAATCATCAAGGAATGTCATCATTGAAATGATTATTTTTATTTAAACATATTAAGGGTGATAATGGAAAGATAAAACCTCTCTGTATCTTTCGGTATTATCAAGCGATAAAAAGCTTCAAATATTTTTTTCAAAGTATATCAAGTTTATTTTCCAAAGGATTTGTCCGCATTCATCATATTTTTATAAAAATCTAAAAATAAAGTTAAGTATTAAATCTACATATAGCTTAATATAAATTATTAAAAAATTACAAATGCACAAATTATATACGAATATTATTAAATAAATTGAGTAAAATATAGACTTAACTTATTGAATAAAATATTGACAAAAAAGTAATATTATATATTTATATATATTTAACGAAAATATATCTTGTGTACATATGTACATGCTGATTAGAAATCGTTTTCAGGTGAATTCGATCGTAAACTTCTCCGTTTTTTCTTTTCTCAAGGAAGATATCCACATAATTATGTGGTTTTGCACGTTATTTGATGAATCAAGAGAAACACCATAAAGGCACAAACAGCTGCGACAACCTGTTGCAACCACCCCAAACACTAGGCAGCGGGAGGCGTTTGACTGGTCCGAAACCGACGGGGAGGGAAGTTGAGTGAGTTTATTTCGCAATGGACCAAATAGCAAACCGGATAGTGAATAATGTGCGCGTACTCTTTCAACAAATTCTTTCGCGCAGGTGCGATTTGATAGAAACCTGATGGTTCTTGCATATTCTGTTTTATGAAGAAGCTTTCAGATACGATATGATAAATTTAATAATTTAATAATTTTTTATAAAGGAATTTTTTCAAAGCTCTTACCAAATAGAAACCGATAAAAAATTTCTGTTAACTTATAAATAAACACTGATGCTCCGTCACTCTCTTTCTCCTTTTACAATTTTATATTTTATTTTATAATTGTAGAATTTTACAAATATCGTTATTTGTTTTGTGAACATTCCGATAAATTCGATTAACCATCCAATCAAAGTAATCCAATAATCCGAAGTGGATTACTTTGAATCAAGATCTCTTGGCCTCTTTGAATCAAGATGGAATGGATTACCTGTCTACCTGACAACCCAACTACCCGCAGAGGGATGAAAGAGAGAAACAGCGCGGGGAAAAGAGAAAAGAATGAGAAAGGAGGAGTAGAAGGGGAACGCGAACAAAGGGCGTATTCACGCATCAAAAGTCACCACAGCGTGACGGTAGGGTGGTCCATGAAGAGAAACCTGTGGGACCTACTTCGGCATTTCAGCGCCACAAGCACTTGTCGCACTGGCTGGTTGTTTGTTCGCCCGACAAAATGGCGATGCTCTTTTTCAAGATAACTGTACCGCATCAGCAACATTTATCGATCATTGAAATATTCAATTATTTTCAAATCATGGAAAAGTCTAGTGACGTAACATCGAAACTACGCGACTATTGAGAGAGCCCTTCAGTTATATTTAATTTTTCATTTTTTAATTGACAAAATGATAATGGTAAGACGACGATACGATATCGGCAAGTGATAAACTAACGGGGATCTATTAATACCGAACAATCGAAAGATATAGAACCAACATTGCGTTACGTCGCGGACGATGTACCTTTACCTTTTTTTCCTTTTTTTTTTTATTCAGATTCGTCCATGAGTGGCTCGGTCGAAAAGTCAAACGGAGTTACGACGGAGCCTTTCGAAATACCAAAAAGGCAGGGCGTTCGGAGGAACGCGTGCGAGAAAAAGTCAGCTCTTTAGTAGGTCAACGCCGATGTTGTTCCTTCCCTTTAGAATTACGTCACTCGTATGCCCCCTCCCTCCTCCTCCTCCCCGGACTCGCGCCCGCACGCCAACGCTCGTTCGCTCACTCGCTGGTACACGTGAAGATATGTCGTGTGTGTGAACACATGACACATATGCGCATAACGCGTACACGCGTTGATCATCTATCAAGTTTATACGCACGTACGTAAGCGTACATATGTACTCACACAAATGCACGTAGTGCGTGTGTATGTGCCGCAGCACACGCACTTGACCACCCACCCATCCACCCACTTAGGAAACTAGGAATCATTTTAACACGTCAGGTATATAGCGGTTGATCTTCGTTATTCTTTGCCTGGAAAAGAGGAATCTTTACTATCGCGAACTTCGTTAATTTTGTTAGAACTCTCTCGGAAAGGCACACAATAATTTTGCTCGCGAACTAAACTTTTTTTCTAAACAAATTTTTGTTTCGGACTTGTATAATAATTTTAGCGACATAATAATCGCGAATTTTTGCGTTTTATATGAAAATGTAAAAAGATAACCAGAGGAGAAAAAAGAAGTTTTCCCGCGCGTCACTTCGGGATCGGTGAGTTTATGAGGGGTTTACGAGCGTGTACACGACTATCGCGTTAGAGGGAGGAGAGGGGAAAGGGAAGGCTATGCGGGTCGGGGTCGAGTCATGCATATCGATGTCGACGTGCATGAATTTTTCATACTCTCCTACGATTTTGAAAGCCGCTCGCTCGCTCGTAAATTCATAAGTCCACCACTTGGCCACAAGAATGAGAAGAAGTCACCAATGTGTAATACTCGATTTAACCTTATTTTAAAATTAAAACTGAAACCTTCTGTTTAATATAAAAAATGTACGTATGAGAAGTTTAAATGTCAACACAATAAAAAAATAGAAAGTTAAGGATTCGAATCGGAAGCTAAGGATTTAGATATTAAATAATAAAATTTTGATTCAATTACTATAATGATAAATTTTACTTTATGTATGAAAACGAGGGATGTAAAATTTAATAATTTGGTATAGAGATTGAATTTAACATAGAGATTGTGTAAATTATATTAATTTCAAGAGGTCAGAAATAGAAATTAATTATTTAAAATTTAGTTTTAATGATAATTTGCCAAGAACGAACAAAGAATATGTTAATCATAAATTTGAGCCGGAAGACCAGGAATATATGTCCGGAATACTTCATGTAAAGACTACGGCGGGGGTTAACGCTTGAGAGATACCGCCTACGTGGTGCGTCCTCTCCACTGATCGCAGGTCAGCACGGTGTCGTCCATTGATAGTTCCCGATAGAGAAAAAAAAATGCGCTCGCTCGTGGGGCTCGCGCCACGCAAGAGAAAATGGAAAGGAGAATGAAAGGAGACGTTGGCGGAAAAGATGGTGGAAAGAGAGCGGGGGGCAGGAGCGCGTGAAGCGAGCAAGGTGGCGAGGGGGGGCAAATGGGGGAAGCGAGGAGTGAAAGATATTGATAATCGAGGAATCCGGGAACTCAGAACCGTTCGAACGGTTGCCGCAGACGCAAGGTCGTTGTCCTTGGGGGATCAACGACCCCTCGGCGAGAGGGTGCTATGGTGGGGATATCGCGTTCGTTCGCGCTCGCCTCCCCGACGCCGCCGCCGACGTCTCATAAGGGCGCCCCCAGGTTGTGCTGTGTTGGAGTCGGGGTTAGAGTCAGCCGATAGAGCCACCACGTCTGGATTAATGATTAACCCCAGCTCGATAGCTTTTCTCCATTCCCCAGATTCCAAGTATCACGCGGAGAACGGAAATATAGATTCAGTTTATCTATTGATTCACTACCGAGGTTATCAGTAATTAATTAATAGAGAGTTGACACATTATTTTCTAAATTTGAGATGTACCGATTTGTATGAGAAGAAAATAGAATTGAACAGGCATTATATATATATTTGAAATATTTATACATTGAAAATATTAAAGGTTCATTACAGATGATTAATTCTTAAAAAAAAAAACACTTTTAAAAATTCTCAATTTTATATATATATATATATATATAAAATGAAAAATTCCACACAGAAGTATTCTCTGTCTCCTGGGCAAGCCGATAATTTTCTAATTGATCTCTTGCTGCAATTTACAATTTACCAGAAAATATAAAATTTTGCGCGTGAAAGTTTAAAAGTTAGTGGATATTATATTAGAAAAAAAGAAAACGAAATTTTATAACTGTCGTCAGGTGTAATTGATCTTTGGAGATCAAAAATAAAGATACGATCGGTTACGTATACTAAAAGAAGAAAGGCAAGAGGGACAGGAAAAGTAGCTAGAAAAGGCAATTCAAAGAGATAGAAAGCCCGAATACTAAGTGATCGAAGAAAGGGGAAGGGAATAAAGGAGGGTTGGAAAGTTTTATCTTTGAACCAGAGAATACGATGTAACCACCTGTTGGGGTGGCGGCGGCAACGACGGCGATAGCTTCGCCTCGGCTCTTCTTCGTGACTGTTTATTTTCGGCTGCGAGTTAATTTCGAATATCCTGCGGCATCTTTGGTTGATAGTGAACAGAATGTAAGCTCTCTCGCAGAAAGGGGCGGAACAAAGAAAAGGGGTGGTGAAGTACAAATAGCGTACGAGTAGAATACACGCGCAAGAGATGAAGCACGAATATAAAGTAATATAAAGTAAAGGAAATGTTATATTGTCTTTCAGTCTAATTTAACGAATTTGTGACAAAGTCCCTGCTATGGAAGAGAATAGTGAATAATAGTTAATAATAAAGTAACAGAGGATTATCATTTCGATTCGTATTAAAACGTTAAAAAGAAAGCTGGTATCATCTTAATTCGTAATCATTATGACATATAGATCATTATGACGAATATGCTGCCGCACGTTTTACGAGAAGCGCGCGGGGCGGCGTCCTTTCGCCGACGTCCTTTCGCGTTCTCGCCGGAAGGACTCGCTGGTGTTACGCTCGACGAAGGCGCGTGAGAGCACAGGACAACGGGCGAGCAGGGAAAGGACGGGCGTGGATCCTGAGCTGGACACGGAACGCGGTGCGCAGAGCGGAGCGGAGCAGAGCAGAGCAGGGCAGACCAGGCCAGGGAGCAATGTCCCTTCGAAGTCATCCCCTTCCTCGCTATCGCGCGTATACTCGCGACGCGAGGTATGCACGCCGTTACTCGCCTCCACGCGCGCTCTCTCTTTCTCCCTCTTCCTCGATGCGGCGCTTGCTCGCTTTTTATGGAAGAGCCGTAAGCCGGGGATCTTCCACGCGAGGCTTTCTTGGGAGAGAGTTTTCCACCGCCTCGAAATCTCTTCACCCTGCATCGACGATCGCGCACGTGTACGCAGCCAGCCAATCGGAGATCCTCGGTGAGAGTCATAATCAGTTAGGGTAGATAAAAGAGAACAATATATTATATATAATGCAATTATATTTTTTAAATAAGGGAAATTCATATCGACATTGTTTATTGATTTATATCATTTTTTGACGTGTTGGTACTTTGTTAGTGTTTTGTAAAATTTGTAGAATGAGTATTTATTACTCTTTCGATAATTAATATTTTCGTTGTATTTCTGTGAAAACAACTTTTTCACGGTTGCGATGTCTCTTTTTTCTTTATTTAAGATGAGTCATCCATGGGTGACGATTGCGTGATCTGCAGGAGTAAGCGAAATGAAACGAAAGGAAAGCCAGCATGCCGTTTCCTTCTGCCGTTGTGGTTTCTCGGAATATCCTTTGCGGTCACGACGGAACGGATAAGGATATCTGGACGTATGAGGCAACGCGTCCAGTGCCTTCAAATCGACGCGACACCAGAAAACTTGGTAGAATTTCATTTTATGCGACCTCAAAACTTTACGTTGACTTTAGAAGGACCACAGAAGAGCAATGCTGACATTGTCAAGAATATTGCCAGCAAAAAAAATATCATTCACGCCTCTTCGGGGTGTAGCCGAGTCTGATAAGATAACCGCGTATCCGTATATACGGAGCATGAAGTTAAGGCAAACTTATACGGTTCACTTTTGATGATCCTCACGGATGATTTATTCAAATCAAATGTATTTGATAAAGAAGTTTTCCTTCCGAACGAATATCGAAATTTTTTGGGCGAAACCTGTAAACAAAATCATCCAATTGTTGTTATTTTAAATAATAAATATATTTTTCTTTCAAACCAGACAATATAGGAAAAAAAAACTGATTAGATTTCAAAAAATTGGTACATACAAACAGCGCTGTAGAACTTTCATAGATACCAACTATTTTAATTTATTAAGCAATACTCGAATTATTTTATTAGCGTGAACAGAATTATCAAAATTTCAGAATTTCACGTTTTTTCTTTTCTTTTTTCGTTCTTTCTATAGTTTCTTATTTTATTTATTTTATGTATAAAAAATTTTTAGATTAAGAACAACGAATTATAAAATCTGAAATTTAACTTTAATGTGATTTTGTCGGATGAATCAGTCTCCGATTAAGTTAGAATTTAATTGAAGTTGTTTTCAAGGAATTGCGGACGCCACGCGCGGTTTCCAATATGCAGATCTTTATGTTTAATTGCCCCGTGATATGATCGGTGTCATTGACATTAGATGTCATCAAGAGATCGCCATCGGATCGCTGTTCGATCCGATGAGAATTCAAACACGGCATTGTAAAGAGGTTAAGACGACACTTAACCCCCCCGGGCGCATATGGTTTCCAGTTGAAACGAACGGCACTGGTGGCGTGTCGTAACACACGAATCTCATGTGTACACTAATTAGGACCATTGAGGAGGAAGACGGAGAGAAGACATTCGATATATAGGACGCCATCCGTTAACTCATTGCCGACGGCGCGCGGTTGTGCGACGCATTAACATTTAACATTAACACTGACCTGTTCCCCCTACCAGCCTCCTCGTGTTCCTCTCTACTAACTTCCATCTTCCTCCCTCTTCGTTACGAATGATTGATATCGTTTTCACAATATCAATCAAGTTCTCTCTTAAAATCGGAAATTCGAAGGACATTCGGTTCTTGTGTGTTTCGAGATAAAAATTTAATTCGATGAAAAAAAACATCTCGTATATGTTCCTATTCGATATATGTTTATTCCAATTTTTTATATATTTTCATATTTATATTTTCCATGGCATCGCAACTCGCATTTTGTTCCTCTTCATCTCGTCCCACGTTCGTTCGCGCTCTTTGGCACGCCGCCACGGCTCGTTAATTTTCCGGAAATGCATCCGAACACTCTATTGCAGTCGTATGTTTGTTGCGAGGTGCGCCACCCTGAGTGACCCGATCGTTGAAGCCCCACCTCGACTTGCGAGTCTAATCCCAATTTACAATAACAAGTGCAAATAACAAGTTCGCCGTCAATATGCGAATGTCACATTGTTAAATAGCTCGTGATAATCTTTGAGAATTCTCTGAGTATTCGCTTCTGATTCTTTAGAAAAAAGAAATATTACTTTTTTTTACTATATTACTCTTGTCATTTCGACAGAATTTATTATTTATTTTAGGATTTTTTAGGATTTATTTTTAAGATTTTTTACTTATCACCAAAATAAAATTTTTCGTACTTTGCTTATATTTTCATACGTGTTGCGCGTCGAGAACATATTGGACTAAACATTATCGTTACTCTGTTATATTAACTGTCATTTCAAATCGTTTTAAGGATGTTTTACACTGTTTTTATTTTTATTAATAAAAAATATAAAAAATTATATTATTCTAGATTGTTTTTAAAAGTAATATAAAAAATTTCTTCGCTTAATTATGCTCTCTCTGTTGTAAGAAAATTTGCTATATATTGCACAACTTAGATGATTGTAAATTAGTAAATTTTTATTAAGAATACAAACAAAACAAATAATGGAATAAATAAAATGAAATTGTAAATTAACATTTTTAGAACATAAATAATCTCTGCATCGCAATAAAATTTTACACAAATAATCTTGAATACATAATAAAAAATATTTATATACAAAAATTGATATTTTTATCATTATTTCTTAATTATATTTCTATTAGAGCACACTTTTACTTATTTATTTAAATAATTTTAATTCAGATTCTAAACCGCCGCTTTCTTGTATTATTTTTAAATGCGATTTAGAATAATTTTTAAATTTTTAATTATTTTTAATTATTTTTTTAATTTTTATAAATATAAAAATTATAAAAATAGGTGTAATACGTTCTTAAGAACAGGAAGATGGAGAAGCAAGATAAAAATCTTGGAATAGAATTGTCGAATTCTAAGCGAAGTTGCGAACTCAGAATTCTTTATATGAGAAGGAAATTGAAAGAAAAATGTAAAACATCTTGCACATTTATCACGGATTATAAAAAAAATAATTGATTTATCCTTTCAGAATAAATCAGTTGTGTTTTCTCAATGTCAGTCGGAAACGCTGAGACGCGTTTCGAAGTACGAAAGGATCGTTATGGCATGTATATAACGGGGAGCCGCGCTAGAAGGCAAGGAGCCGAGCAAGGCAAGGCGAGACAAGACCTGGTAAGACGCAAGAGAAGGCTTAGCTCTCTCTTTCTTTCTCTCTCTCTCTCTCTCTCTCTCTCTCTCTGCCTCCACTGTCTCTCTTACTTTGGAGTCGAGGCGAAGTCGCGTCGGCAGTCACCACGGCCGTTTCTCAACCCTTTCGCGATTACGTCACGTTAAAAAAGCTATTTGGGGTCAACACCCCGCGCTGCAGCGACACGTGTAGTACTCTTTGGATCCCTCCATTTCTCCGCCTCTCCGTCGCGGCCCTCTACCCCGCGGTAACGCGAAGACAGCCCTCTCTCCCTCCTCCTCCTCCGCACGCGCAAGCAATGACGCCATTGCTGTCACTTCCCGTCTCTCCCTTCATCCTGCTCGTCTACTCCAAGTGTTCCTTCTACTCTTACCGAGGTTTCTAAGCTCCCTGTGTCAGAGCCAGGATTCCCATTTCTAAACGGGCGCGTGTACTACTGAGGATCAAAGATCATTGATAGAGTTGTGAAACTCTATAGTAGAGAACCATATTCATATTCATACTCTTGTCATTAAATTTACATATATATTCTTTTTATTAAAAATAAATATATAAAGAATTAAATTGTATTGTACATGTGGTACAATAAAAGAAAAATAGAGAAACTGAATTAAATCGTGATGCGTCAAAACATTAACCCCCACGAAAAATAATTACAATTACCAAAGTCGTGCAACATATAGCAAAGTTTCTTGCGACAGAGGGAGCGTTAAGCGAAGAAAGAGAACGGGTTATTGGGAAGGGATAAGACCGAAAGAAGGGGAAAGGCAAAGCAGCCCCGAGAGATACAGCCCTGGCCGTGGGCGCAATGAAAGAGGTAGGAGAGCCAGCCGAGTTTCTCGGAGCAGGAACGAATAAACGCGCACACTCTGAGCTAGAACTAGCTAGAACCTCGCTAGAGCGGAGCCAAGGACACTAAACGATCAGCAACAACAGCCATAAGAATGAAAGCGGCAGAAGCGTCAGAAGCGGGTGACTCCCGTCACTCCGTCTACGTGCTCTTTTATCCCCCACTGCTCTCCCTCAATATTACCATTGTCGACCTCATCCCCTCTACCACCGCTGCTGTCACCATCACCATCACCATCACCGTCACCGCCATCGCCACCGCCACCGTCATTGCCGCCGCCGCCGCCGCCACCGCTGCCGCCATCGCCACCGCTACCACCACCGCCACCGTCACCACCGCCATCATCACCACTACCACCGCTGTTGCCTCGCAAGAATCTCTTTCCTACTAGACACTTTTTTTTGTCTAACTATATGCCTCTCGCGTTCATCGCGACAAGGCGGCAGCCTCGGCGCCTTTTTATCAGTTTTGACCGAAAAGATTCCGCCATGAATTCTATCGTCGTATCGCGCCTCAGAGAAGACACACGCGGACAGGAGAGCCAACCCTCGCACATGCTGCGAGAATGTAAATATATAAATATATTGCTTGGATATAATATACACATATCGCAAGAAGCTTTTCCCTTTTGCTTTCATTTGGCCGAACGAGATGTTCCGGCGGATATTCCGTTAAATGCGAAGAATAAAAGGACAGGATGATAGGAGAGAGGGGAGGCAGGAGAGAAAGAGAGAGAGAGAGAGAGAGAGAGAGAG